TGACTAAAGAATACCTAGAAAACGCCTGCAATGCCTACCTCATTAGTTTATCGAATTGGTTACGAGTTAATAGATTGAAGCTAAACACAAGTAAGTCAAAATACATGATCTTCAAACCTGTTAGTAAACGAGACACCAGCTCTATTAACATTATATTTGAAAACACCGTTATAGAACACGTTGCACAGCAAAAGTTCTTTGGCGTCTGGTTTAGCGAAGAGCTCACCTGGTCCAACAATGCAAATAGACTGAAGGTAGAGCTGTCTCGAGTTATTGGTACCATATATAAAATGCAAAATTTGATACGCACTTGGGTTAAAATGACGTTGTATTATTCTCTTTTTTGTTCTTAGATCAGTTATGGTATGTTGGTTTGGGGTACGACCACTGCATCTAACTACAACAAACTAATGGACCTTTTCCGAGAAGCGTTCTGCGCACGTGCGAGCGCCCGATGCCAAGCGGCGGAAGTCGGAACGAAAAATCGAGGAAATTCGGAAGGAGGCTGTATATCCGCGAGTAGAACACGTAACTGCAGCATATATATAATTGTTTTACACAAAAAAAGAACGTCGACGGAAAGGAAAACACGACGTTTGGGTGGACGCCACGGATGCCCCTCTTTAAAGTCGCGTTGGGCAGGCGCCGCTGCTCAGAGAGCGAAGAAACTGGTAGCGTAGCTGCCATTATCGATTGGTAGCGCAGGTAGGTCACTTCCTCAATTTTTAGTTCGTGCAGCCACCGCCTGGTGCCGTCGGTATGTGGAAAAGGTCCATTATCCTTCAGAAAAAAATTCTTCGTATTTGCGAAAATTACATGTGTAATGTCAGAAATTTGAGCACTCAACCACTTTTTGTTAAATATAATATATTGAGGGCAGACCAGATATATCACTTTAAATTATTTCAATTTCAACCTATATTTGACACAGACACCTCATTCTATTGCCTACACATTACGAGACCCGAAACGTAGAATCCCAAGCATACGAACAAATTATGTCAGGCAAAATTTATCGTACATGAGCACTAAATTGTTAAATTCCCCCGCATTGATGTTAATTTCAATTCCTCTTTTCCAAAGCTCAAAAAAGACTGCAGACGAGCTCTGGTTTGCAGGGATATCGCATTTTCATCTATTTAAGGCATGTATATCTATTTATATTTATTTTCAATGAAACGTAACGCATACGAAACTTTGGAATTCTCATTTTTGGCTTTGTAGACTGATTTTTGGTTTTGATTTAGCTTGTTTCCGCTTTCCTTTATAAATCTTTCTTTATTCATTTTTAGAGGTTATGTAAAAAACCGGTGTCTATTTTTATTTTTACCTTTATTTTTATTTTATTTTATACTATGTTACTGAAAGTGCAGAAAAGAAAGAAATACACATCTCGTCACCTTCATTACGTCCACTCATGCGCTTGGCCGGGAAATACACGCTTTATCTGTCGGTCACAAATCTTGTAAAAAAAATCTTATCTCAGCATTATACAGTGTAATAGGCAAACATCTCCCTCAAAAATCCATAAGTTGACAGTGCGTCAAAGCTACAGGTACGAGAGCGCAGCTTCGAGACGTTGCGTTTACGTCTGAAAGGCCCGTTACAAAAAGGAGCTTTCGTAGATAGGTTCCTTACCTCCGAAACTCGTAGCGGAGGTAGACACTGTTACTGAGCATGCGCACCGCTAGCTTTGTCTGCAGAATTCCAGGGATCATTTCCGGTCGCCGTAAGCTAGCGGATGGCGGGTGTGGATGCAGCTTTCGCTGCCTTGTCAGCTTACAGGTGAAGGGAGTGCACCTACATTCTTTTTTCTTAAATACAATATTTTATTTTTACAAGGACTACCATAATGCGAGGGTATGAGAATTGTAAAGTAGTGTTGCGGAAAACCTTTTTAAACATCAAAAATTTTTAAATTGTTTTCTTGATAAATGTATGGGAAAAGTAACGTGAAAGTAATTTGTAACGTAACGAGTAAAGTAATATCCGTTACTTTTCGCCGAAAGTAATTTGTAACGGTAGTTTATTACCTTTGATGCTCGGTAATTTGTAATTGTAATCCATTACATTTTTCAAGTAACGAGCTCAAGTCTGCCCTTACCCAGATTTGTTGTATCAGAGAAAGGCGTTCAGTGTTTAGGCAAATGGTTCCCATCATGTCTTTATATATTTTGCGTTTGCTCTCTTAGTCGGCTTTCTACACGTAAGGTGGACTTCGCGTACCACCCCCGCGGCGCAATTAACGTACCGCCAGCATGCTCTGTGGTGCAGCCTCGCCTCTTACCGCTTTTGTCGGTATTACGAAGGCAGGGTCAACCGAATTCGCTCGGAGCTGAAAAAATGAGCGGTACTCCAAAGCGATTCGCCACCTTTATCAGATTGTGCGACATTTTTTGCACATACAGTACCATCTCAAACATGGTTTATTTAGCTCAGTGCCGTTTGCGTCCTTAGAGTACGGGTATGTCCTCTGCGTAAGACAAATGCCAAAAAGTGTGGGATCGAGTTTATGAAACCATACTTTACCAGAAAGAGGGGCACGCAACGTCTGCCACATCAATTGGACTGTATATTTCTGCGATAAGATCTTCTGTAAGTTTCTGTGACTAATAGATTAAGTGTATATTCCCCGGCCAAGCGCATGCGTGGACGTGATGAAGTGGACGAGATATGTATTTGTTTCTTTTCTGCACTTTGCAAACATAGTTCTGAGTGGAAGCTGTGTGTTTGTCTTCTTCCCTGTGTCGTTTCTTTTTTTCGCGCCTCATTATGTTTTATAAATTGTCTCGTCTAAATAATTGCGCAGCGTTTTTTTTTTCTTGTTTTTTTAAAGGGGCATTTTAGGAAACACTATTGTTCAGAGAGAAATTGTTGTAGATACCTCCAACAGGATAAAGAAAATAAAAATGCTATTAAAACGAAACAAATATAAAAAAGATTTAACGTCATAAAGAAATGTTTTTCATAGCAAAACAACCTATCTTCTTAAAAAAAACCACACTGTCGAAATAAATTTTTGAATACTCAGAATTTAGTGGGACCTTTCCAAAGTTAGCTCGCAATTATAAAACTATGTTACTAGTCCCAATAAATGTAGTTTCTTTATAGGAATATAACTCATGTCGACTGTAAACAAACAGTTATAGATGCAACAGGAGACACTGAACTTATGCATGTTGATGCAAATACCGAACTTAACACATGTTTTAAACATGTTCATGCCTCAAAAATAAATATTTTCACTATTACGTGTGTTTCATTTTTGCAAAAAGTGCAGTGAAAGGCTAAAAAGGTTTAACTTCATACGCAAATATTTACATAAATGTTCAGAAAAAAAAACACTTTTATTTCCTGCTTTTCAACAATTTGCATTCAAACCTTTTATTGGTGGTGTATTTATGATATGCAAGTATTATTAAGACAAACCTTTTAATGTTAGTGACCTCGCGGATTGATTTAACCCCCTACATTACATTCAGTTGTAAGTACTTGAACGGGAAAATAAAATTCGAGACGACAAATTCAGCTTAAGACTCAGAAAAAAGACAATGCTGAACAAAAAGTCGACTGAGAGGCGCCGATATTTACATTTTAATAGCTGCCGTCCCGTACAAAATAAGGAAGGAACTCGATACTGTCGGAGGGTACTTTTAAGTCGGCCTGACTATTCGATAATAGATTCAACTTTAGTTCAAGTGTGCATGACTATGAATTGAGGATATCTCGTCCCATTAATAAATAATTTTACCTAAGTTACAAAATTTTAACAGTTACTCCAACTGGCGCACAGCTGCAAAACCTTTCTAAAGGTAGCTATAAACAACAATTTTTTTTACCCCACTACTCCCTGCTTCCAAATATACTTTATATTTTAAACGACACGCTAACATTCGACACCAAGATTTTAGTTTGAGAACGATTTTACTTAACCATCAAGGGTAGCGTTCCGGAGCCTTCGAACTCTTGTCGATTTATTTAGATAACCTAGAAACTTCATCGGACAAAAAGAAACCATTTTAGATTGTAGGAAAGGTCATGGCAGTTGTTGTTGCCTATGCAACAATGTTACTGTGGCTGTCTAAATTATGAGTCAACCAGAATAAGCACAGCAGGCTATTTTAACTGTAAAAAATGGTAACAATAATTGTAATTCCGAAAACATGGCCTATTTAATCCGAAGCTAAGCTGGTGCTCCTCCGTATCTGTGTGAAAGTGAAACGAACCTGCTTCTTGGCATTTGAATTCACTTTCAAATAGATGACTTTGCGGTATTAGCTTTATTATACTACCGGACGGTTTTCGTATCACCCGAAAATACAGAATATAATACATCTGGATCTAGTCCAGGTTTAAAACTTTAGAATCCAAGATCCTTAATATAACAAATGGGGATATACCGACTATTTTGCTAACGTTTTATTTGATTTTGATTGGATACGCTTTCTTGCTTCTTTTTATTTTTTATTTATCGTTTAATTTTTTGTGCAAAATAAGTAACTCCTTTGATCTTCCCATAAAAATTATAAATTCATAAACAATAAGCATTGTCTGGGCCCTAAGAAGTTCTCTTTTTGTTCACTATTACTCGGCAGTCTGTCTTGTGTGTAGGAGGACTCTTTCTTTATATATACCTTCTACATTGAAAACAAAACAATGGAGAAAAACAACAACAACATGCGTCTGCCGTTCTTATTTAACTCCGTCCCGTTCACAGCCTCGAGAGGGCCTTGGCCATCTCATGTGTCTGTCAGGAAAGACCGCAATATTAGCCGCTCCTCGACAACTCGGAGTGGCTCATAATGAGCCACTATTGCCGTGCAGCGGTATAATGCATCAGGGTCGCGGCGTCTTTGTCTATGCGAGGTGGAGTGTCCGCGCCCGGGAATCCCAAGGATATCCGGACCGCCGAAAGACGGGCTCTAACGGCAATAACAGCGCCGCCGACGAAGCTATACGTGCTTTCCAGAAGCCCTATACGTGCGGAGGGCGACCGGGAGGGCATGCGACGTCGCTGGAGAGACACTGCGCACTTGAGAAGCAGCCTGCACGGACGTCATGGATGCCAGGGTCTTGGTCCTCGCTTTGATTCTACTCTCGTCCGGTAAGCTCGTTATCCGTTAAGTATCGCTTGCGCTTTTTTGTTTTAAAGTGTCGTCATTTTGTTTAAGGAGGAAGCGGATTTGAAGGGCGCATCGTAAATCGTAATCACGCGCAATTCCGTGTCGACAGACCGCGCACTTTCTTTAGAGCGCGGTTGCAAAAGTATACTCAATCAACCACAGATCGCTGAGGCTGAATGACCCCTGCGGTTTTAGTTCACGAGAGTATTAAACGTACATTGCCTGGAACACGTTTTCGACTGGTACGTTTAACGTCCTATTCAGTCAATACACCAAAAGTGCTCTCGAAGTGCTAACAAATGACGTCAAAGAACCCTGTGCGTCATGCTGCTGGATGTCGCGATGTTGGCCGTTGGTGCTAGAAGTTCCGTCAAAAAGTACGAGTGAGGCGCAGGCACCGCTGTTGTCTCTGCGCTCCAACTCCTGTCGGCTGAAGCTTTAGAGGCTGTCAAGCTGGATTACGACTTGAGTCGAACGGGTGTCTGCCACGCGCACCCCCGCCGCGGTCGGCGAGAACATTGCACGTCTTTGACGCCATCAGGCTGAAATTGAGGAACCACTTTTTCGGACACGGTAAACAGAACGTCGGAGACGCCTTACAGGCATTGTAGTTAGAAGTCCGGCGGCAGAGAAGAGCCTGGGCACCACCGGCTGGCTTGACCAGAGTTTGTAGAATGCCTCAACCACAAGTTGATCATATGTTGTTTTCCAGCGCATAGAACAATGTCGTCAATTGTTATTAGTTATTTATCGCAGAAAGACGGGAAAGCTTCGACCGTATGGTGCAGAGAGTTTAAAGCTAGTTAGCACAGTGTAATACTAAACAGATAAAAAGAATCTTGACAAAGCAAGGCATGCAACTGCAAAGTACAAACCTGAATGTCTAAACACTGCCTCTTTAGCAGGTGTAAGCCAAGGCATAAATGCAAATTACTTGAAAAATGGCAATCGCGCCAGTGTTACAAGATAGCGATCATTTTGAGAATATTTACTCGATGTTCGAAAAGGCTATAATACACCCTGGGAACGTTCATCACAGCTATCAAAACAAGCTCACCATCAAGGAATAAATAACCTGTGCTTGGACTGAAAATGGCAATCCTGGTCGATGTTGGTGCTTACAAAAATAAACTCTGTCGCCCGTCTGCTTGCAGCTCTACTGGCGGATGGTCAGTTCGGAGGAGAAAGCGGCTTTAGACGACGCATCCCTGGAGGAGGAAGGCGAGAATACGGCTGCGGAGTGAGTTTATCTTCGACAACTGCATGTAGTCACTGACAAGATGGAAAAGACAGGGAGGCCCTTCGGTTCTTCCGTGTTCAGCGCGAGTTTGCTATCTTCGATAGCGCTTCGCTGCTTTCGGAGAAAGCCATAGCACGGCGGATGGCAAGGAGCGCGTGCAGGAGTTTGGGCATTTGAAAGAGACGCCCTACCGTTCTCGACCATGAGTATGTGGTAAAAAAGAAGGAACAGCTGCGGGCACTTTCGTGTTTTTTGAGGGGCTGTCCTATGATTAGCATGAGACATGGCATCCGTCGAATGATTAAGTTAATCTGTTGCATACCCTGCAGAGTCACTAGAAGGTCCGTCTTGTTCCTCTATAGTGATACCTCACTCACCCTCTCTTTCATTCATTTGATTTAGTGACGCAGGAGTGATTTTTAGACCGCTGTATCTGCTCAATATAAACTTCGTAAATGTGCGTCTTTATAAATGTTCACAAAAGCGTTGCCTGCCGCCGAAATTCGGACATAATCGCGAGAGGAGAAGCCATCACGTTCTCTTGAAATTTACAATATACAGAACCGGGTGAGAATATATATATTTTTCTTTGAGTTTAGAAGTTACATGAGTTGAAGCGTAAGAAGTTGTTCACTATGGGTTCTACAGCTTTTCTGTTTTACTTCTGTTCAGCAGGTATATTCCTAAAATCACAAACAAATATATCATGAAAACAAATAAATTACAGCGATGCCATAGACCCCGTTAATAGGACGCTCCTCTCTATAAACAAAGTTTCCCGAGAACCGACCCTCCGTTGCGAACTTCTACTTTGTTTATATACAATCCCGTAGTCCGGACAATGGACAGCAAATGTGGGAGCGCACTGGCTAAATACCTACATTTTTGTGTCGCAATTATGTACACAAGCTTTCTAAAAACAACCCAAAGACACAAATAAATAAAACAAAACATATCAGTGCATCCCTGGAGTTAAAAACTGTACCGTTATCCTTACCTCATGTGAATAAAAGTAAAGGTTTCCCTTACAACTTGGGAGGAGGAAGCACCATGTGAAGTGTAGGCAAAAGCGGTCAAAAACCATGCCAAACGTAAAACGTGGGAACTGAAAAAACGCGAAGACCGCCCTACAGTTGGCAGATCTTTTAAACTTTTATAAATATGAACGTCGGCACCAATTCGTATGTGCAGATGGAAGTCTCAGCATTGCTGAATCATTAATTATTAATTGTTAAGTATTAGTGATCTTGAACTTGATTAGTTCATAACACGGATGGGCAGTATTTCAGATACAAGTATTTGAGATACGTATTTCAAATACTTTGTGTATTTTGCATTTGTGTTTAATTACAAACTGGGTAATGTTTTGGACGTCTGTATTTAAATACTAAAACGTGGGTATTTCAACTACACTTGTAATTAAATACAATTTTGTTGGCGAAAATACATCCCTCCAGACTACATTTTGCACCGAATGCAGTGTCTCTCATTCAAGCACAAGCGTTTAGTGACTTTGTGATTACGGTGCTAGTCCGAGGCAAGAATAGTGACGAAATCGACGTTCACAGGCAGACTGGCTAAATAAGTGCCTGTGACAACTTGAGATGTTTTCCAGCCTGATTTCCATCCATATTTTTGCCTGGAACATTCTAAATGCGCGGGTCGTCCAGATTTTCGTAACTATGCGAGTTGCAACAATAAAAAATTCTCTAGCTAGTGCTGCGCGTCTTGGTCGTAACGGTTCTTTGTTGGTCTATTCCAAAGTGTAATCGACAAAAAAAAGCTGCTTGAAGCTCTGTACTTTTTTCAGCTATCACATCCAAGTTGATTACATTTTTTTTGTGAGTATATTTCTATTACGTTACGAGAGCCTTGCACACTAACTCCCGAGTGTGCGATGTAAAATTAAAATGAGACACCCACAAACCCGTTGCAGGTGCCCTGAAGTCGCTGGCGCAAATTTTGAGGAATGTATTTGGAAAAGTATTTGGAGGAAGCCAAATACATTTGGTTGTATTTGTATTTGTACTTAAATGCTTTTTGGAAATGTAATTATATTTGTAATTAAATACATTTTTAACGAAGTATTTTGTATTTGTATTTTGATACATATTTGCATGTATTTTGCCCATCCCTGGTTCATTACTTACAGAGGACTCATATTATTGACGGTTTTTTGATAAAACGTACGTGTTCATATTAATCAGATATCACTTTATACATATAACGGGTTAGGAGAGAGGGGGATTTTCGCACCACTCGTCTGCTCTTATTTGTGCCCAAGCAGTGAAACATTCTTCTGCGAAGCTGAAAAATCTCTTTTTTTCAACGTTCGTCAGCGGTAGATGGAAGAAGACCTTTTGTACGAACCTGTACAGGCAGGATTATAAGCACGCATAAAAGCAAATCCTTGGCTTCAGCTCGCCTAAACCAGCTAAAAAATTGCCCCCCCCCCCCTCCCCCACTTCCCCCAATCACTGGAGAACGGATGAGGGATGACGTCTTAGCGATAAAAGCTCAAACCCCTAGTCTCTACGCCGAAACTTTTTTTTTTTTTTTAATGGCGCTTCATTGCCGTGCTCTTTTTCATTAACACTGCCGCGGAAGTTCTTGATCAACCATACCTCCCCTCACCGCGCATTCGGTAAGGTAAATGTTGAGGAGGGTGGCCGGCTGGCCACAAGTTGATAGTCACACTTTAAACCCAAACGTCGTTTTTTTTTCTTTTCGTTTTTTTTCAAAAGTTAATTGATATTTTGTGTAAACATTGGCACCATGACGGAACGGCACACGCCAAAACAGCACGCGACAAAAACATCACGGTGTCAAAACAGCACTGCGACAAAACAGCACGCGTCAAAATAGCACGCGACAAAACAGCACAGCGTCCAAACAGCAAAGCGACAGAAGAGCACGTGCCAAAACAGCACGGCATCAAAACAGCACAGCGTCAAAACAGTGACAGCGACAAAACAACACAGTGTCAGAAGGGCATAGCGACATAGGAGAACGGCGTCAAAACAGCACCGCGACAGAACAGCGTGCACAGCGTCAAAACGGGACATGGGCAATAAAGCTAGGGTTTGGCGTTTTCGGTTTTTTTATATTTGGAAATTGGGCGTACTTTTTTCGGTTTTTATTTCAAACAGAAATTTTCGGTTTATCATGGTGAATATTTGTAGACCCATAAACTTATTGTTTCTTTTCGGTTTATTGACAAAAACCAGCATACTGACGAAAATGTAATATTTAAAAGTGACAAATAAGGAAACCAGGTACTGGTTTTCTTATTCGTTGCTGTCTGTGGGGGATCGGTGGCCGAGTGGTCTAGCGCACACCAGCTCGGAGCACGTGAAGCGAAAGTTTGTGCTGCGGAACCTAGGATCCTGGGCTCGATCCCCGCCCCTGCCCGTTTCGATCTGGATGAGCATCGTACCGGCGTGCGATCGTGTAACAGTGCTGCGTGGTGCACGTTAAGGACCCCAGGTTAACGGTTGTGCCGCACTGGCTAAATTGCTCATCTACGGTTGAGACACCAGACGCACACTGAGGCAGACTAACTTCCGGCTGTATAAGCATACACATAACAATTTGCTTTGTTGTGGCAGCCGGACCAACCTACTCTGCAAGACGTACTGGGGCCCTATCGTGATCTGAAATTGTCGTCGTGTGCTCGTATTTGTACACACGGCGAACATCGGCTTCACTACCACTCCGGTCGGAGAGGCAAATATCAAAATCCAGAAATCTGCAAGCATTGTACTCAGTGCGTTTTGTGTCCATTTTCATGACTGCGAGAGGTGGTAAACTCGCACCGACCAAAGAAATGAAAATAGAACAATCGCATTTATGGCTTCCTCTAGTAGACAGAAGCTAGGGGTGTTAAAAATTATGCGGCATTTATGGACGTTCTTGATATTTATTGTTCAGTTCACGATTATACTCTCTTCTTTGAACAAAGAATTCGCAACACAAATCCCTATCAGGTGAAAAACCCTGATTTCGTCCTGAAGACCCCTGCGCCCCGGAGCTTTTGTTGAAAGTTAAACCGATCTCGGAGACAAGCTGAAAACTGCGAAAGGAAGTGGTCATGCGGTCAATAGTAGGTCACCCCCCCCCCCTCCCCCCCCCCCCTCCCGTAACCCACCAACCCTCCAAATACCCTCGAAAATACAGAGCTTTTTCGGTTAATACTGACCGTTTTTTCTGCTGACTATCACCGACAGTGAAAATTTTGTCAAACGTACCCACGACAGCTAGCTTCGCTGTAAAAGGAGGTTTGATCAATTGCATATAATTGTTTAAAGCTTTCCGCCTCTCACCTTAAGGGAATGCTTTACGCTGCATTCCAATCGGTAAAACTTGTTGAGCTAGAAATTGTGGTTCACTACCAACTTCCGTGGCTTCCAAACTGTGGGTCCGACAGATCCAGTGGGGGCTTGCTAAGTAATTGCTGCCAATAGGTTTTTCTTATGTTTTTCAGTTTAGCCAGTTTAAGCATACGTTTTATTATGTGGACTACTACTAGTAGTCGTCATAGAAACTGATTCTTGTAGCCTCGTAAAATGCGCAAGCGGGGTCGTGACGCGATATTTATAATGTTGGGGGGGGGGTCTCCTGGTTGCCGAGTTTGGTAAGCACTTAAATAGGCAATAAATTTCTTTATGACCTAGCGAAAATAAATGAAAGGGTGTAGGAGGTTCGAAATTATTCGCGAGAGAGAGGTGAAGTGCGCGCTCGAAGTTGCTGCATGCGTGCTGTTTTCTCGCTGCGCTGTTTTGACGCTGTGCTGTTTTGACGCCGTGCTGTTTTGTCGCGTGTTCTTCTGTCGCTGTGCTGTTTTGACGCTGTGTTATTTTGTCGTGGGCTATTTGGACGCTGTGCTGTTTTGACGCGAGCTGTTTTGACCGTGCTCTTTTGTCGCGTTCTTCTTTGTCGTGTGCTGTTATGTCGCGTTCCTGTAAAATGTAGCCAAAGATCCTGAGGATCAAAAAAAAAGTATTTAAACACAGCATCACGGTAAAAGCAACACTGCTCGCTTTGAGAATACACGTGGTGCAGTCACATTGCAATTTAGAAAAATACGTTGGTACTTTGTCACCACGGTGTAAGATATATATATAGATGTGGAGACTGCGCGCGTCGCAGCTGCCACATCGTCCTCTCCTCACCTTGTTGGCAATCGGCGCCAATCGATGACTCTTCGATGATCGGCTAATGGTTGCCTGTAGCTGCTCCGGTTTTCCGTGCTTCTCTATGGGAGACATGCTTGTTTTTAAAGTCGTTTTCTTCGTGCGCCTCATCTTGACAATCTGGGTACTTGTGTAAAGCGTGCTGCTTAGATACAGCTTCGACATTGGCCCTTGTTTCGTGCCTCTGTTATGAACGCAATCAAGCGGAGATCTTTTTGGCGCGGTGTTAAGTCAGCGTCCGCCGAGGTCAGAGCAGAAGCGCCCAACGGAGTGCGCATGCGCAGAGGTGCCATAGCAAAAAAAAAACGCATAGTTGCTTTTTTTTTTTCTCTTAGTGCCCCGCTTGGCCGGCAGAGGCGCTGTCGAAAGAGACTACTGGGACGCGCTTCAATAGAACTTTATCTGGACGATCGCGGCGCAGCGTTTCGCTGTGTTGAGTGCCCACACTTGCACTATATATCGTACACCGCGACTGTCACTTGACAGCACGTCTCATTAACCCGTTGGTCACATCGCTTGTGTCTTGGGAAAAAAAAACTGCATTGCCTTTCTGCTGTGCTAGGCTTCCGTAATGATTTCCGCAGATAATTCTCAAGGCAGTAGCTTACGTTTATACGAATTCTCCAGCTACTTCGCCAAATGATGGTGATAAACAGGAAATTTGCCATGCCACTGGTAGCTATTAGCTTCCCCAACGCTTCACCCGACCGAAGATACCAATAGTCAAGATGGCTAACCGGGGGCCGCAGTCGCGAAGCGGGTAAAGGGGGATCAGTTACTAAGCACCACCTCATATGCAACCTGAGACGAGTATACACGCAACACGGTTTGGTAGTACACAGAAATCAGCAGCAAGAAGTACTAAAAGACATATACGCCATAAAGGTTAACACTTTGTAATATTCGAAGGTTGGCATTGCCAAATTTCTTTACGCTTATTTCGGAGCAATAAGCTCTAAACTACAGGGTGAAACAAGGAGACGCCAGGCTCTTTAAATCGACCGCAAAATTCGGTTTCTAAACCTATCGCGCTACGACTTTGTGCAGCGTTGCCCACAGATGGTGCCTTTTTTTTTGTAAAATCTGCGAAGAGCGGACTTACCTGAGGAAAAAGTAAAGAAAGAAAAAGGCTTAGCTCCTATGGAAACGCAGCGACGCCACCGGTATGGAAACAACACGGCGCCGTTTCGCATGGGAGACAAGAGATGGCGCAAGCGGTCGCGACGCCAACTGCTGCCAACGAACGAGCAGACGAGGCCGAGAGCAGGCCCTTTTGCAGACAAGGACCTGCAGTTCCTTGCTGTTACCGCGCCTGTCTTTTTTGTTTCTGCGACTGTCGCCGCCTGCGGAACGTGCACCGCTTTTGAGTCGAAAAGATCGTCTGCTAAAAAGGCCTACTCTCGGCGCCGTATGCTCGTTCGTTGGCGGCGTTTGCTGCGCCATCTCTTGTCTCCCGTGCGAAACGGCGCCGTGTTGTTTGCAGACCGGTGGCGTCGCTGCGTTTCCATAGGAGCTAAGCCTTTTTCTTTTATTACTTTTTCCATTTCCTCATAAAGTAAAGTCGACTAACCGTGATCCAGCTCTACTAAGGAATTTAGGTACAGTATGTAGGAATAGTTTCGTAATAATCGGGTACTCAAAACTACTGTTAAGCATCAAGCTGAGGGAACTAACTTTCTTTTACGATTTCTAAAATGAACTGACCCCTTCATAATTAAAGCAGTTTCAGCGTATGAAATAAAAAAATTAATTAAAAGATTACTTTAAGAAATATAAACCAAATTGTGTTTTATGGTAAATAACATGTTTTGAGGTATCACTGCAGCGCAATTCGGGGCTATACGGCATGCAAGCTCGTCCACTTTTTGCGGACATCGCGTGTTTGTTTACCCTTCGTAAGCGCGCACGTGCTTTTGCTAACCCCCCCCCCCCCCCCCCCCTCTCATCCAATGACGGCGCGCGCTTGGTTTCTTCGTCACCTCGCGTTTCCTGCGCGTTGTCTATGTTGGCCTTTGATAGGGTGTCACCCACCTCACGTTTCGATGCGCCAAAGTCAATGTTTAGAACACTGACTGTCCGCATACGAATGTAATGTAGCTGTCTAAAAAGAAATTGAGAGAACTGCGCAGACTCTGCGATTCCTTTAATCATCTGTTTCGTTCCAGGGCCGCATCTGTCGTCGCGGGACACGATGTGTGCGGGTTCAGTGCTTTCGTGCTCCCTGTCCCAATATTGCGAACTGTGAGTAAGCCGTTCTCTAGAAAGGCGTCAGTACCCTTTAGAGCGTCTCATATACTATATGAGACAAGCGAGGGTCACATTTATTTTCATTGAACGTTTTTACGCACTGAGATAGTGCGAATAAGAAGCCACTCTACGGCGCGAAAGTTCGTCTGCTACTTGCGCACCTTGTGCGTCTGTTTACTCACAAATCAGGCCACGCACGTTTGTTTGCCCCCGACCACAAGCAATGACGGCGCGCTTGGTTGCCTCGTCATCGTGCGTTCCCTACGTGTTGTCTAGGTTGTCTTTTAATTGGTGTTCCCCTCCTTGCGTTTCGATGTGCCAAAGACGCATTTTGGAACACTTGCTGGCCGTATGTTTTGTTTCACTATAACTCCGCGCGCAGTACAAGACCCGAACACCCCAACCACTACCACACATACTCAAAGTGCAAGTCATCGGGCGTGCACTGCACTTGATTCGTTAGAAGACGTAGAAGGATGCTATGAAGTAGTGTTTCGAACGCAATTTGATTGATGCCGTCGGCTCGTTTAAGGTGAAATGAAATCTAAAATTGAAGCAAAACAGTAGTGTAGAAGACTGAAATAAAAAGAAAAAACATAGTGGATATATAATTATTAAGAGGAAAGCCTTATATGTCTTGTCTCATCGTCAGTCGACCTTCAGAAAACACATCGGCGAACGAGATTTACCAAAATGAAAGGTACCAATGAAACGGCGCCAAAAGTGCGTCGTCAGAGAGCGCACTGTGTTCGAAGGTTCGCTATCACCAAAACCACAGCCGACGCCCCAATCCGAGTGAGCCAATAAAACGACGCCAAAAGTGCTTTGTCAGAGAGCACGCTGCCTTCGGAGGTTTAAAGTCACCTTTTACGGGACCACTCAGACAAATTAGAGGCAATGATATTAAGAAGAATGACAAGGCGAATTAAGTATAAATCATGTGTCTGTTTTTAATGCATCGGCGCTTGGGCTTTCGCCTTTAAGTCGCCTTAGGGATAACTTAAGAGACCCTGTGGATATTTTTATATATCTTCTTTTAGAAGCCGCGTTAAATGAAACTGAGTGAGCGACAATGGTTGCCACCCTGTGATAATCTGACCTTCAATCTTGATAAACCCGCCGTTGTCTCGATGACAAAATCGAAAAGGGGTTGATATACTTTTTTTTTCTTTTATTTTTCAGGCCTCCCCTACTATTAGTGGTTCTGGAGAATCAAGACCTCTTCTTCCAGAATTGGAAGTACTACCTTGTAACAAAATAAACAGTGCAAGTCCTTCCGTTTCTGTGTGTGCTTTAGGCCGCAGTCGCACCGCTCGTGCATCATTCAAAAGATGCGGTGTTCGCAGCAAACATGACGCTGCGGACACGTGTCCAGAATGTTCGAAAATTGTTGGTTTCATACACGTTTCATGCATTCTTCAGACAGTATTTTTGTATAACCAGCATCACAGAAGGAAGAAACAGACCTCAGGCAGTGTCGACAGACTGCCTTTTGCATCACGCACTAGCAATGTTACCGCCGCTTTAGGACATTGGGACAGTCAATGCTCTTCATGATATTCGCTTTAGAGCTTTTCTTTTAGTTGAATAGTCGTAGAAGATGTGCAGGACAAGGGGTCGGCGACCCGCGAGACAATACTATACGAACCCCGGCATGCCATCAAAAATAACACCCCCCTCCCCACACACACACACACACACAAATAAAAAACAAACAACTAACATAGACACACGCGCACATACGCTTTAACTTTAGAACAAGGGATATCTTTACAAGTCCGAGAAATTTGTCATGAAGGGTTCGCTGATAAGCTGATCCCCAAACAGACAGCACGCTTAAGCCTACGTTTCCATCAAACGACCTCGTTCAGTTTGAGTTTTCCTAAAGTTTTGAAATCTACGAACTCTCACTGCGGTCTTGATCAAAGAACCTATATGTCAGCGAACGTACATTTTCAATATGAAGACCGTGAAATCTAACGTCGCTTTTGCGAATGATAGATGAGAAGTTGAAAACCACCGAAGTGTTTTACGACTTTCAGCCAAGAGTAATAATGTGAATATTTGAATCTTGGCGAGCAATATTGATCCCACACAATCTTACAACAATATCTTTGCACATCAATATGAGTATGTGAAAAATTTTTTTTAGATATTTGTATAAACTGATCCCCTCCTCAATCTTCGTTTCTCTATTCAGCTCCGGTTGCAGGCCCCTGTGCTTGACTGTAATGATATTACGGAGTAGCCGGCGCCGTTTTTAAGACTGCCTCTACAACCTTCATTCATTTCTTTTCTCGTTCTCTCTTTCTCCTAGGCGCGCCGGAGAACGTTCCAGAATCCCTAAGCAGATGCAGCGGCGGTGTTTTTAGAGGTAATGCTCTGTGGACGGTTACGGAGGGGGGGGGGGGGGGGGGGGGGCGAAAGAGAGAGAATGGGTGAGCAATAGTGCCTCTCACCATAGATTTCGTAGTTGTCCGAGGGGCAATGGCCACGGGGAAGGAGCGACAGCGCAGCGGCGATGGAGCGGAAAGCGCCCTCCTATCACGTATGTATTTGCGTATGGACGCCGCCGGATTTCAGTGAAAAGAGACACTAACAGCTGACTGAGTAGAAGTACGGGTCCTTATGTTGTTGACATAGCGAGAAGACCTTTCTCTTTCTTCCACTTATTTGGATCTCAAAAATCCTCGAACGAGAAAGCTTATATTTAAATTTTCAATCAGTATCTAAAATAGGTGAACTGCAATATTGTTTCCAAAGAACATGTATAACGAATGAAAAACTTACTAGTTGTAGTTCATGCTTATTTTGCAACAACTGTATGGGAAGGAAGCGGTATCATTTCAAAGCGTTGCATCCATTAAACCTGCACCACTGTGACAAGTTCTTAATCAATAAGAGTTCCTAAAGAATGCTACTCTAAAAAAAGATATGTGAGTTAACTTTCATGCTGAACATGGAGACAGTAAATCACGGAAGGCAATAGAAAGACCCCATTCAATGACAAAACTCAGGATAGGACTAGACGAAAAAAAATGCGATGTTCGACGGTACTTATGAGTATGTCGCTTAACTTGCTCATTCTTCGTGCGTACATCGAACTTTTTTGATCTAATGATATTCTCAGCTTTCTCATTCGCTGGAATCCCTCTTTTGGCCGCCGTGATTGGCTATCCTAGTGTTCCTCGGAAAAGAGAACTCAACTATTTTTTTTTTATTCTTCTATTGAGTGTATATGGAACTGCAATAAAACGTGAGCCAACTTGCGCACCTATTTACCTGTACGACGTTTCGGCAACGCGCCTTTCAGGATGTCATAAAAATGGTTGACCACGGGAGACAGTTTATATTTTACAGAAGTCGTTAGTAACTGCGAACCACTATAAATATTCCCAATTGATATGTGCTCTCAGGAGGCTTGTAATGCGCTCTAAGATTTTTAAAAATAATGAACAAACTATTAAGATGGGCCCCCTATACGTGCTAATCGAAAACGACATCAACGATTTATAGGATGTCTTCCCCCTTCTGTGCCGACGTGTGGCCGCCCTTCGGCCGATAAGCAAAACCCAAAAACGTGAAAAATAAGCATAAGCGCAATCTGAACAACACCAATTAGAAAAGGCAAAACCTGTGGACAGCCTCCTCTCCCTCCACGTAACGTCCCCACACTTCGACGGCGCCAACTCAGCAATTGGGCCCAAACCCGACGCCGAGAGCGCTTCAGCGTATTGATTGGACACGAGGTCCGACCGAGCGCTGATATATCACTCCTGTCCAATCATAATCTGCGCTCCATCTCGCTGTGATGACATCGAACTGTTAGTGCACGGGCTTTGATTATTCTATAGTTGGTGACAAGTTAAGAGTGAAGTGGAAGCTCCTCCCACCTCTCTCCCCTTTGGGAGGGGAAATGTTAAAGACGAGACGACCTCCTCTCCAGCGTTCACTCTGCTGAAATGGAAAGAGGTAGGAGGAGCTTCGACTTCACTCTGGCGGACGGACGCAGCTGCGTCTACTCTCGCAATTTTTATTTTATTTTCAGCGTCTCTCATTCCTCCCTCATCACTTGGTTATATATTTTATAGACCATTTCATCCTCCCTCGCATGGGCGCTGCCATCTTGGAATCACGTGACGCGGCAGCCATTACGTTGCTTCAACTTGTTCCGCTCCCCCCTCCGCGCCTTGGCGGATGCGTTGTATTCGTGTTTTTCGCCGCGTTTCATCGCGCTTTGTTGCCTTACTTCGGAAGCTGTAGTCCGATACGTGTACTCGAGGACTAAGCCATCACGAGGGTACAAATGTCCTTATGACAGCTAAGGTTTATTCACTAATAGTGGCGGAACATGAGAAGCGCATATATTTATATCGCGCATTTAGGATCAGAAGGCCCAAGAATAGTCAGCGCAAGAAGGCTATCTGTATTTAATGAAATTATCCTTTTTATTCATAATACTGTATATCGAAAATAGTTTATGTTGATTATGTGACGAAACTCGTGGAGGAAATATACAACGAACGTTTAACTTGTATTTTATCTGAGGCTAGGAATAATGGTATGTAAACTTCAGGCGATTTGTTTGTTCATAATATCATACTTACATGTGTATGAGGTTCTCAATCTTTTTTTGCAGTGTCAAAAATAAGCATTCGGTTGGTCGGTTTACTTATGAAGTTTAAGAAATTGTATAAAATGGGTCGCTCGCATTTCGACAGTCATTTAAGTGATTTATTGATTATCTTTAGATAAGATAAATTTACTTAATTTATTTTAACACAAAGGTTGGGACTTCCCGCGTGACTGCCACAGACAACAGTGGCGAGTTTTAGAATCGCGTGCACAAAGAAATAATGTCGTATCTATTTCGAAATCCAAACGCGAGCTTGGTTCAGCGCATGCGCAATAATAACAACGCTTCTTTTTTTTTTTTTCCCCCTTTTTTTGTGTACGCTGTTTTAATTTTTGCCAGTATCTGGGGTTTGCAACATTTGGCGCAGGGAAAAGAAGCCGTCTGCATAACAATCACCCGAGTCCAGGGCTGTCGATGGCGGATAAGGGTTACTTTTGATGGCTGGCGACGCAGAAATTTACAAAGCGAAATTGTTCAAACAAATAAATATTTGTTCACACAGGCCCGCGAAGTGGCGCCTAGCGCTAGAATTCAGCCAAACTTTCCGAGGTATTTCTCCTGCGCCCTTTATTCTATTCGACCAATTTTACGGAAGACAATTGCAGATTTAATTTGACGGGCCTGTCACTTATATCATATCTTGAGTAAGCAAATGCTCATATAAGAATAATTTATTTCCTATGGCCAATATCGCGAAATGCTGCTTATGAGTACTTTAGGACGTTTGATAATTTAAGAAATTTCCTACTCGGCCTGTGAAAATGTGCTCAAGTACTGAATTAAAAAAAAAAAAAAAAGTCCTAGACGATGCTACTTGTTTATATAAATTATCTGCGTCATTACACTATACTTTTTGAGTCCGCAAAGCTCACTAAAAGTTGGCTGCCCACGAAAACCAAACAGTGAGTACTAAACTCGCGAGTTCATCTGTTCTGCCCGATTCAGCGCATTGCCAATCAAGCTGTCGATATGCTACTTTACATTCCCGTGCTAGTCTCTTCATTAGTTTACTTTTTTGGAAACTGGTGTCATCAGGTACGGCCGTAGACGATGGCAATCTTCCCTGTGCATTAGCCTGATGTTCCGCAACCGACCATAATGAGCACATCAAAGGAGTTGGTAAAAAAGCCCGCAATTAAGGCTCAAAAACGCCTTGTAGTCCTCAAAGTGGGTCAATGTCACTGTTTCATTGGCTGTGTGCTACAAGGAAAATAATTGTATCACCAAATTAAGCAAAACCACGTAAAACAGCAACATAGCCGCGTTCACGTTGAAACCGAAACCAACCAAATTGAAGCAACCTAATGGCGCCGAGTGCACCAGCGCCCTCTATCCGCCGGTGAGGCAACTACTAAAATGAAAAGGTCTATTCGAGATTGAACACCCTATACTCCGCGACAACTTTTCTTGGCAATGCAGTGGAAGGTACGTCCCGCGTCCCCTCTCCCATTTTGAGTGTACGCAGGCTCTCCTCCTCCCCCATTTCCGGGGAGAGGAGGAGAGCCCGCGCACACTCAAAATGGGAGAGGGGTCGCGGGCCTGTACCTTCCACTGCATTGCCAAGAAAAGTTGTCGCAAAGTATAGCGGCCGCAATGTTTTTCATGGCAGTCACACTTACTAAGCGAACACCCACAT